GGGCATTGCCCCGCATGTTTGTTATTTCGCTCTTGGTGTATTCTGCTTACGCCCGCAAGACTGTCAGCAATGCTAAGCACAAATCGTACCTGAATGTTTGAGCAGCTTCACCATCACCATTGTAGTAGATGGTTTTAATAAGATTGTGCACCTAATGCACACACTCGAGCTTATTCCAGAGCTTGCGTGACAACCAACCATAAGACTGGAAAATTGAATGCATGACATATATAAGATGGTGCGTTCCAACGATGACCAGTTTTTCGACAACCAGCGCACGAGCATATGCGTGATGATGAAAAACATTTATTATAAAAGAGAGAGGTACGGGGCCAAAGCATGACCCCGCTACATGGTCGGCGTCCTTAGTCCGGGACACCGCATGACGAGGCCCCTACTCGCGCCCGTCTCACCAGAGCCCGTTGAGACTCTAGTGATGAGCAGTTGAGGGGGGCAGTCTCCCATGCCTCTCGAGAAGGGGTAGGGGAAGGGGTAGGTGGGGATTTTTCGGACATGCCCATACCATGTGGAAGATATCACACGTCTCCACACAGTGTGGGCACCGCCCATCTGTGTTCGCATCGAAATGTTTTAGGATTGCAGGACAGAGTAGAGTACCTGACTGCAGGCACCTTAGAGCTCTCTCTTCCGCCTTACTCAGCCCCTTTGCAGGAGCTGGGTAATGGCGGTGAGTGTCGCGATAATAGGTCAGAATTTCTTTGAACCGCAGCAGCGGTGTATTGGCCTCCGAGTCATAAGAGCCAAGGTGAGGAGCCCGGTGGGTAAGCGCTTGAGCGGCCGCGTCAGCGGCCTTATTACCTCGTAAGCCCTGATGGCCAGGAGCCCATACGATGCGTTTAGGGGCTGGATCAGCGAGAGCCTGTTTTAGAAATTGGCTGGCTAGGGGGGATATCTCTCCTACCAAGTAATGAGCACATGCTTTCCGGCAGTCCGTGATGATAACTTTCGAGTTGGGGTCCGCAGCAGCAAGCGCTATCGCGACTTCCTCAGCGCGCTCTGGATTTTGTGCTCGGAACGAGAGCCCATTGACATGCTTTTCCCGGTGAACTACACAGGCCGTGTAAAATCCCGTGGGCGAAGGCCCTGCTATATCTACGTAGAATACACCAGGTCGGGAGCCGTGTTGCCTCTCAAGCGTCCGAGCCCGCGCCTGTCTTCCGCTTTCGTGCGTGTGCTTATCCATGTTACTGGGGAGTGGAAAGACCGAGAGCATATGCCGCCACAGTTCCGGAATACGCTCCGCCTCCCCTTCAGTGCAAGTGTGCTGTATATAAAAGCGGTTCAGCAGGCGGCGCCCGGGAGCCGTCTGCACGAGCCGGGTATATTGATTCATAAGGTGGGCCTCCCGCAACTCCTGGTAGGAGTTGAGCACACCTAACGCCCTCAGTTTGGCATTGGAAGTGGCCAACGGGAGATCCAGAGCTCGTTTAGTAGCCTTACGAATGATGGCATCTATTCTTTTGTCTCCTTGCTTGTTAGTGCGAAGGTATGGGACGGCGTAGAGGATCCGGCTCGTCACGAAGGCATGGGCGAGCCGAAGCGCGTCCCTGCCCCGCAGACCACCCCGCTTGTTGGAAACGCGGTGGATCACGCGCCCTACCTGTTCGCCTATTCTCTTGAGTTTCGCTACAGTGGAGTCCGGTCTGAGTCTGTGATGAATGAACAGGCCCAGAATCCGGAGCTCCCCCACCTCTCTGATGGGAACCCCAGACAGGGAGATGTGTATGGCTGACTTATCTCTTGGCTTCGCTCTAACGTGCAGAAGCTCTGATTTGTTTGGAGCACATTGGAGTCCACAATCGTTGGCATACGCCTCGACTATGGATGCGGCCTGCTGAAGGCGTTCCTGCATTTCACCAAGGCTCCCTTCAGTGGTTCCAGATTGTAATATCATCGGCATATACTGCGTGTTGTGTGCCTTCCACCCTGGCCAATTCGCTTGGAAGGCGCATCATAGCAATGTTGAAAAGGAGCGGTGATAACACTGCTCCCTGTGGGGTACCCCCATATGCGTGTGGCTTAGGTCTTCCACTAGTGCTGACAGCAAAAACAAACAGGAAGTGGTCTTTATTGATATCTGGGGTTTAACAAACCAAAATTACCATATGATTATGAGAGACACCTCAATCAAGGGTTCCAGTAATTTCAACCACCTGAGGTTCTTTAACGTGCACCCAAATCTAAGCACAGGGGCCCGCAGTGTTTACACGGGAAGTATTCTTCATGCTTACAGTGAAATAATGAGTTCGTTTAGACCGATAAATTTTACACTGAAATTTTGAACATCAAAATTTCAGTCATCATAGGTTTACTAACAAAGGAGAAAATCACGGTCAAAGTTACATTTTTAAATTTTCTCCCCAAAATTCTATGTGCAACATCACAGATTTCAAAGTATATTTTTTGTGAATTGGTGACGCTGGCCTAAACAAATTTCCTGAAATTTGGTATGCTTAGTCTCTGCTGCCTCAGAGAACAATGTATCCCATTTTTACTGATCAGGAACTGCGTATGCCCTAGTAAACACTGTTCAATCTCTTCAACTGGACGATATCTTAGTGGACGATTATCGGATCAGGTGATTCCAGGTCCTTGACCTGGCATCAGCAGCACAATTGTGGTTATAGGAGTTGTCGTAGCCTTCTTAGAAGCCACTGGACTCGACGCAAGTCTTTAGATATGCCCAAGCGTAGCGGAACTGTATTCTCGCTCACCTCCCTACCGTGCCATCGTCATTCATCCCTCTTTCACTCCCCTGTCCCCCCCTCCCCAGCGTAGAATATAAGGCCAAAGCAAACTGTAGCTCAGGCCTACCTGTCTGCCTTTCTGTAAGTAAACTCTTTATCTCTAATTTGAGAAAAATCAGCTTTGTTTTTAGTGTCCCTTTACTACAAGAGTAAAAGTTTCTGTCACCAAAAAAAGAAAAAAAAAAGAAGACCCTGCAAGACTTAAACAAACCATCACACCAAATTACCGCCAGGCCTGGACGGAATGTGCAGCACAGTCACAGCAAAAGCTGGAAGAGCGGCATTTTGAGAGACTTTTTTTAAACACTCTTTCGGTAACTGCTAATAAGCACACTTTCAGGGTACCCAATACGCCATAAATCATCGTAATTTTTGTGCAGTAGGAAGGCAATCTCTATGCCATCATTCGTCATTTTCATTTTTTTTTTCATATTATTTATTCTAAAGGCCGAGAGGCATTATATAGAGGGGGGGGGGGGGGGGCAAGATAGTTTTTTTACAATGAACAGGAAACATTTCACATAAACAAGAAACAAAATAGCGGTGTTCAATCATTGGTGCATATGTACATACATGTGCAGTCACTTAAAGCGAGAATATGCAAGAGAGAAAAAAAATAACGATATACGTACAAGTAATTCATAAATGCGAAAAAATCAATAAAAACAAAAAACACATCAAGCACTGGAAGAACAAAGTTCATACACAATTTACCTACAAATGTACGCAAAGCAGGTCGAAAGTAGAACTATTTACAAAATTAGTGTGGCAATAAGAACTGTTTAGCACTTCTGAACGTTTATCAGAATTTGTTTCTTTAGCTATAGATCTCGGCAATTGATTCCACTCCTGGATAGCCAAATAAAGAAAAAAAAAACGTTATATATCAATATGGGCAAAAGGTTTATAAACTTCAAAGGAATGGTCCAAGTGTGGAAATTTTGCATTTGGTGTCGTTATCAATGAAGCAGTAAAAGGTGAAGGGTTTTGATATAACATACGGAAGAACATTAAACGAAACACGTCCATCTACATTGTAATGTTGCAAGGTCTAGGCTCTCTTTGACTTTAGATACACTCGAATAGGAAGAATAATCTGAGGCAATAAACCTAGCAGTTGTTTTCATTCTTCAGAGAAGCGTGGTACTTGCTACACACTCGCAGTCTGCTCGCGATCATTTCGCTAGCTCCCCATATACCAAATTGGGTATCACATGGCGTGAATAGACGACAAACGTAAATGACACATCCAAACATGACAATCATGACATGAGTGTCACGTAGAACATGAACATGCTACGTGCTATGCTCATAGCGTGCTCGCAACTTTTTCGCTAGCTCCACATATACCAAATTTGGTGTTACATGACATGAATGGATGACGAAGGTAAATGACTGGAGTAAACATAATTATGACATGCATGTAATGTAAGAACATGACAACAACCCACCCTCATTTTGCGCTCGCAGGCATTTTACTAGCTTCAGATATATTAAATTTGGTATTACGTGACGTGAATGGACGACATCCAGACATGATAATAAGACATGCGTATCATGTCAAACATGACATGCTATGCTGACAGTGCACTCGCGGCCATTTCGCTAGCTCCTCATATACCAAATGTGGTGTTACAAGACGTGAATGGATGACGAAGGTAAATGACATGTACAAACATGATAATCAGGATATCCATGTCATATAAAACATGACTACATGCTACCCTCATAGCGTGCTCCCACCCGTTTCGCTAGCTGCACATATACCAAATATGGTGTTACATGATGTGAATGAATGACGAAGGTAAATGACACGTCCAAACATGATAATCATGATATGCATATCATGTAAAACATGTCTACATGCTTCACTCATAGCGTGCTCACGGCCGCTTTGCTAGCTCCACATATACAAAATTTGGTATCACGTGACGTGAATAGACGACAAAGTTAAATGACACATCCAAACATGATAATCAAGACATGGAAGTCACGTGCGGCATAATTTATGTCCACCTCGTAATGTTGTGCCTTCCTCATTCGTGCTTCACATATCATCAATTCCCACTGTACGTGGGGGATCTGCCAATTTTTTTTAATTAGTTTATTTCTTATTTCGTGCGATAGTGGTTATGAACAAAGGCGGATAACTACAGCACATGCGACCCTTGTGATCTTGCTGTGATTTAGCCAAGGACACGTAGGCCTCCCAACATTCCTACTCCTACTCACCTCTGTGCCAACAACAGCCACGGACACACCCTTCAGAGTCTGCCACCAGCAGACACATGTGGGCACACCTGCGAGCAAAAAAAGCAAGATTTCTCATTCTACTGTTGCACCAACAAGCACCCACTTCCAACTGGTTTAACAGAATGAGCCCATGTCAATGTAAAAAAACACGTAGCATTGAGTTATATCCCACTGCACTTTTCCATGAAAATGCTTGCACCCTACGCTTAAAAAGCAATACATTGCTTTACTCTTATATGCAGCGCTACAAGGTATTTATTCACTTTTAAGGCCAGAAGGCAACGATGCACATGGCACCAAATATTTTGCATATTATTGTCACACGGCCCTATTTTACCAAATTTCTTTCTCACAATATGAATCCACAATATATTTAAAAGCAAATATTATCTTGCAAATGATTATAATCAAAGGCTTCCCATAAGAAAGATAAGCATGTAAAGCATGTAAATGGACGCAAGGAAAACAGCCAACAAAAATGGTGTTTGTGGGGCATGGTTTTGTTTGCATGTACTCACATAAGGACAAGTGAATTTTCTTTCTCTACAATGAATCTCTACCATCTAGCTTAACCTTCTGTTGTTTTTGTGTTTCCTTTTACCTGTGGATGCCTTGACCTTCAATCTACTTGAAATTCGTATATGCAACATAAGCTGAAACACAATTCATTAAAAGAGAACTGGTGAATTCATTCAAATAGCCTGTCAGTAGTCAACACACAACCTGAAAAGTCCAGCGGTATGCACAGTGTACAGACTGGAAAATGGCCATTTTGCCACATTACTGCTTTTAATAATTTTATAGCATATGTATGTTCTTAAGTCCTGTCACTGGAGACACAGCAGGCCTTTTTTGAAGTTATCAAGTTGCCCCAAACATTTTCCCACTCATGCCCCCCCTGAGTTGGTGACGGGCTTGTGAAAAGAAAAGGTGCATTGAAAAAGAAACGGCAGCTGAACTATAAGCGCATGCACTCATGCCATTTCCATCATGACATTCACCATCAGATGACTAGTCGAATGAAGTCTTTGAGGATGTGCGACTGAACAGCTTCACACAGCTCCTCTTACGTGAGTCATCAACTGCTAGTACGTCATACACCTCAGATGCAAAGTGTTTTTCCACACTATCACGCGGTGTTAACACATTTCATATGCTCATTACAAGAGGTGCCAGCACACTTGCTACTGGAGCTCACTAGAATTCATCACATGCATTGCCTTTTTTGTAGATTGTGGGGGTGCTGACACCCCCTGTAAAGTTTGCACCACGTGGTGCACGAGTCTCGCGCAATAGCCATGTTTTGGGGTGACAGCTATTGAGCAGTAGGTGGCGTGTTCACGAGCGTTGATAACCACTATTATCCTCATGGTTACATGGATGGATGAATTGATCTGGCTGTACCCTTTAGATTGGGCGGTGGCTAACGCCACCTAGCCGTAATACTGAGTAAACCAAAGATTAGATTTATCTTTTTTTTCCTTTAATTAGTGACGTTGAAGAGTGGTACTTTGCAGTGAAGAGTTTAACTTTCACTCGTGCCTTGACTTTAACCACCAATCAGATAACCTCCATCAAGTTAAATCTACTCGCTTAAAATCTATTTTGCCCTCCCTGTCCCTAAACCCCAGCGCTTTGAAAAACTCTGCGCCATCATCCTGAACTGTAGGATGAAGCCCTTTACAGAACATTATCAATGTTTGGCAGTTTCCTCCTCCTCTCCACACTCCACACGAACTGCATACCGTTTCTACCCCTTCGTATTTGGCCCGATAAGTCTTGGTTCGCAATACTCCCGTCGTGGCCTCAAACAGTAGAGAACTACCCCGAGTATTATAATAGATCCTTTCCTTGGTAATTTCCTGCTTAATATTTCTACACACGTCTAGTGTGGACTTCGTAATCATGTCAATTCTACACATATTGGTCTCCGTTTCCTTCACCTTCTTAAGCGATAATTCTTTTTGGTTTGGCACCCTGCTCTTTTCTAGGTATTTACCCGTGAATTTTCTGATTCGCATATATCCTCCATTTTTTATCAACACTCCTCATGTAAAAGTAGCTGAACACCTTCCTAGCCCTCCCCTCCTAGTCCTCCCTCATTTCTCTTAATCGCTTCTCAAATTTTATCTTGCTGCTAGCTTCCCTGTCCTCGAATGATGTCCATCCCATATCACCTTGTACTCCCTGATTTGGTGTATTACTGTGAGCTCCTAAAGCAAGCCTACCTATTCCTCGATTCTGAATTTCTAATCTTGCTTGAGCCTATGATCTCATGCACATGACTGCATTGCCGAAAGTCAGACCAGGAACCATGAACCTTTCCAAATTCCTCTCACAACATCATACCTATTCCACGGTGCCCTATTTTTAATCACCGTTGCATTTCTGTTACCTAGAGTCGTTACGTATATTCCGTGTTCCCTTAGGTACTTGGTCGCATTGCTTATCCGTATGCCCAAATATTTGTATTTATCTGTTATCTCTAGCGTGACCTCCTATATTCTAAGCTCACTACCTTCGTTATCATTAAAAATCATGACTGCTAATTTTCCTTACTGAATCTCAAATCTAACTTATCTCCCTCATAAACGCAGATGTCTATCAATCTCTGCAGATCATCCTAGTTGTCGGAAATTAGCACTATGTCATCTGCGTACATCAATGCTGGTAGCGCATGTTCAATGAGTTTTCCTTGTTTGACGAAAGAAAGGTTGAAGCCAAGTCCACTTCGTTCTAATTTGGCCTCTAATCCTTGCAGGTACAACATGAATAACAAGGGTGACAGTGGACACCCCTGCCTAAGCCCCCATTTTATCTTTGTGGGCTCAGATACCCGTTTTTTTTCCATTTTATGACTACCCTGTTACTTTTATAACTACCCTGTTAGCTTAGTGACTCCATCCTTCATGCTCCTTTGATATCCTAAAATGCTAGCAACAGAGGCCTGTGTTCCTTCTCTGCTATTTCGATGCACTGCGTCAGTGAGAACAGATTGTCTTCCAACTTCCTTTGTTTTCGAAACCCATTCTGGAGTTCCCTCAGCACCCCCTCATCCTTTATCCATGCCTGCAGTCTTTTCTATATAATCTGCATCGCCAGCCTGTAGACCACTGATGTCATTGTTATAGGACAATAGTTCTTTATGTCAGCTTTGTCCCCCTTTCCTTTATAGATCATGCTCATCCTGCTAAGTTTCCATCCATCGGGGATTTCACCATCGATTATTGTTTCGCTCACTGCCTCTCTCAAAGTACTAGACTTGGGACCTAATACCTTTATCAGCGTAATTGGGATGCCATCTGGGCCTGTTGATATACTACTAGGAGCCCTCTTCTCATCCCTTTCCCACTCTCGTGAAAATGGAGCCGCTGCAATATTTTCATCCTCGTCTATTAAGAAGCATAAGGCACTTCCTTGTTGAAATTTTATTGCCACCCTTGCTTTTATATATTCAATAGCTTTGTTCCCTTCTAGCCTAAGACATTGACCTGTGTTTATAAAACTCTGCTCTAGGCTTGTCGCATATTTTAGGGAGTTTAGATGGTTCCAAAATTTTGCAGCTGCCTTTCTATCTTTTTTATGTACTTCTGCCAGCCACTGAGCTGCCTTTCTACTAATCTTTTCATTGATCAGAAAGGATGCATTCCTTCTACAGCTTAGAAAGATGTCACATTTTATTTCAACATCATCTGTCGGTTCACCTCGCTGCTTAGCATGTCTGTGTTCCCTAGAGGCTTCCTGACGTTTTGCTATGGCTCTCTTAACTTCCTCATCCCACCAACTCTTGGGTTTGTGTCTTCTTTTTCGGGGTGACTTCTCACGTGCCTTAGCAAGCTCTAGCTCAAATAGTCTAATTAGATTCGTGTACGTCCACACTGTTTTATTATCCTCAGTGATTACTTTCTCAATTTGCTTAGTAGCTATTTCTATTTGCCTTAATGAATATAAGTTTCCCTGTAGTTGCTCATCTTGTCTCCTTCCCACTTTCATTGCTCTTCCAACACTTAGCTTGATGTGAATGTGATCATTACCCAGACTTCTGGAGCCACCTTCATCTATGTGCATTCCCCTGAGCCTATCATACATCCTATGAGACATCGGTGCATAATCTATCGTCGACTGCAGCCTTCCTACCTCCCATGTTATCTGCCCTTCACACTTCTCAGTACTGTTGCAAATGATCAAATTATGCCTTTTACACATATCCATGATCATTTTGCCTGCTGGGTCCATATACACATCTATATCTTCTATGTGCACATTCGTATCTCCTAGCATAATTATCTCGCATTCTCCTCCCAATTCCTCAATGTCCTTTGATATACACTCCACCGTTGCCTGGTTTTCCTCTCTGGCCTTTGCTCCCGTACACAAGTACACCAAACCAAGGAGTGTCATCTGCCTAGCTACTTTCCCTTCTAACCATAAATGTTCCATGCATACCTGCTTGACTCTTTGCCAGCCCATACTTTTATGTATAAATGCACCAATTCCACCCCCCCTTTTTGCTGCCTCCTGTTCTATTGCAATATTCCCATACGTGATCCGGATCGCAAGGTGGTTGCTCCATGTCCCGAAGATGTATGGGAAGTGCTGGCAGTGACCTCTGGTGGCAAGAGAAAATTGAGCAAGTCTCTTTGGCTGGTGGCGTTTGGTGCGAACGGTTGTCTCTCGTGGTGTGCCCCCGGCGCACAGCACTGCGGGCTACCTGCCGAAAGCCCTCGTGGTGAGTCAAGCGTTCGCCGCCTTGTGTATGTTATGTTATTGAGTGTATGGTAATATTGTGTAAGGTTGTTTTAGCATGTTGATCACAATTGATGTTATAATTATTTGGCTGACGATATTGTCATTTATAAAAGTAGTTAAACAAATGTATGTGTTGTTGGGTTTGTTCCGACCGCGTCTGCTTTGTCCGTTCACTCCAAGAGCGTCGCACTCGCCATTTCGAGACCCCACACTGGCTGCTCAACGTGGGGCTCTTGGAGCATCAGACGACAGTTTTCGCGGTCCAGTACAGCCCTTTGTTTGAGCCGAGGAAGAGTAG